ATATTCTCATCATATAACTTCGTATGAAGCTTGGTTCATACGGAACAGACACAATTCAAAATTCAAAAAATAAAAACTCGTACTATTGTTAAGTAGCTCATGTCTTTAATTGTTTTCTTATTCATGTATAATATTTACTACTTACTTTAGTTAGGATTTGACATGGGTTAGCCAAGGATTAGAGACATGAGTCTCTTAACAGTAATAAGGGATTTGACTTTTTGAATTTTGAGTTGTGTCGTTATTGCAGAGGACCATCTATATGTGAATTTATATATTTCGATTTTTAGGTACATATACATATGTAACTCAATTTCAGCGCCACCTGGCGGCAAATTTTTTTCGAAATAATTCTTTTTCCTGTTATCAATACATAAACACGATTCTTAGTAATAACTCGACTCCAACGCCACCTGGCGGCTCTTTTTTTTGCAATGGAATTGTTTTTCCTATTGTCAATACATATCTCAAATATGAGGCGAGTCGGACCATAAATACGGGTTTTATTAATAACTCGACTCCAGCGTCACCCGGCGGTTTTAATAGTTATTCTGCTATTCGGAAGGTAGACAAACTAAAACAAGTAAGAGCAGCGCTGTCTTCGGCTATGCCGAAGGCTTCATACCTTTCATGAACATCTGCAAATTTTAGTTTGACAGATTACTGATTTTGAATACATCTGCATACATCGATAGAGGAGTTACATACTTATATAAAAATCGCATCTAAACAATCAGAGGTATGGAAGATATACTTTATATGGCACCAATCTAAGTGATTTTCACTGCTATGTGATCGGTATGTAAACCGGTATCACAATTTATTGGGTTTAGTTTCCTACATAAAGGAGATATATCGCAAAAACTGGTATCTGAACAATCAGTGCTATAGGAGATAAAGCTTATACGACGATTTTCTCAGTAGACTTTGTATTATTATTTATAAAATATCTTACGAAATTTATCGGTTCTAGCTGTTCATATAAAGGAGTTTTACAGTAAAATCCCAAATCTGAATAATCAGATGTATGGAAGATATATGTTGTAGTCAACCGATCCTTGTTATTTTCACTGTAAGTATTCTGTTAATAATGAGTGAAAATGGTGCGAAATTTCATGTTCCTAGCTGCATAAATGGAGGAGATATGATAAAAAACCTCATATCTGAACAATCAGTTGTATGGGGGCTGCAGGTTATAGTGACCCGATCTTCGTTATTTTCACTGTAAGTCTTCTGCTAATAATGAGTGAAAACAGCGCGAAATTTCATGGTCCTAGATAAATGGAAGAGTTATAACGAAAAATTTTATATCTGAACAATCAGTTGTATGGGAGCTATAGGTTATAGTGACCCGATCTTTGTAATTTTCACTGTAACCTTTCTGTTGATAATGGGTGCAAGGGCTGCAAAATTTCATGTTCGTAGCTGCATAAATGGAGAAGTTATAACGAAAAATCTTATATCTGAACAATCAGTTGTATGGGAGCTATATGTTATAGTGGTCCGATTCTTCCGGTTCCGACAAATGATTAATACATTATAAAAATACACCCACCTACCAAATTTTATCCGGATATCTCGAAAACTGAGAGACTAGATTGCATACAAACAGACGGACAGACGGACATGGATAAATCAACTCAGCTCGACGTTCTGATCATAAAAGTATACATTTTAATGGGTCTATGTCTTTTTGTTCTGGTACTTACAAATATCGGACCAAAGTTATAATACCATTTCATGCTCATGAAAGGTATAAAAAAATAATATTATAAAAATCGGTCCAGCCGTTCTTGAGTTATAAATGGTGTAACTAACACGACCTTGTTTTATCTTAGAATAATTGAGAGTGAATTTAAAATATCCGAAATACTCCTTTTTAAGAAAAGCGAAGAAAAGTTGGAGTTTTTGGAATTAAAAGAAGATAAGGCACTGGAAATGTAACATAAAACTTTGACATTGCTTGAATTCCGGCAACAAGTACCAGATTTAAAATATCCGTATATTTTCAATTTTTGGTACAACGTATAACTGTGAGACTTGGTATTCTACAATGAAACTCGTAAAGTCAAAACACCGTTCACATTTAGTTGCATACGCGTGCCTGTTAAATTTTGAAAGTTATCAAAAACTATCAGCTTGCAATGTAGGAGAAATTGAGAGAGCAAAGTGACATTTCATTTTTAGGGGAAGCTGTTAGTTTCTGCTGGAAAAATTTTTGCCCACAGCAATTTGCCAACAAGAAAACAGCTGATCAAAAATACCTGGCTGGAATTTACGCAAACCCATAAATTGAATTTGATGGTTCGGAAGTTAAAATAATAAAATGCGACTCATTAAAATTGTAAGAAGTAAGTAATTATTCGTTTAGTCAGTGAACTGTGTCAGGATAGTCTTTTCCTGTTTCTAATTTGTTTTCTTACGTTGTCAATTTTATACTTTTGAATGTAAACAAAATTTCTAAAAGCTGTTCGTCTAACTTGCAAGTTTCTGAGAATTTTCTGTTCGCATATTATTTTAGATATTTTTCTCTTGTGAGAGAACAGATGACATTTCGCCGGAATTTTACTGTTGGAAATTTTTTATGGGCAAAAAAAAAATGCAAAACCATTTTTTTTTTCAAAATCCGCTTTTCACAGGTTGAGCCTTTCAATTGTTCGTAACTTAATTTCTGTTTATCCGACGAAAAATATTTACACTGCGTACACGGTAACCGCAACCCTCAATACCTGCAATTTCTTGATTAAAGCAAGCTCTAACGCAAAACATTGTCACCTTTATAAATGCAACTTCAAAGCAATACTTCAAAACATACTTTGTTTGTGCATGCCACACACATTTGAATTTTTCGCCTTTCTTTGACTTGCCTACCGGTATTCTGGAAAAACTAAAAAGTGGTGTTTCCGTTAAAGTGATGTGTGATCAGTTTAAAATAAACAAATCAACTGTTATCAGAATTAGTCAAAATGAAAGCAAAAGTAAAAATAAACAAATATAGAAGCCGGGCTTGAGAAACGTCAAACTTTAAAACAGTGCGAGTACCCAAAAAGGATTTACACAAATGGTTTTGTCTTAACCCTTTCGCTATTTTGATGACATATGGGGTCATGCTTTTTTGAATACTCACAGATTTAATTGAGCTTATCTGAAATTATATTTTTATAAGCAACGCTGTAATGGGAAGTTTTATAAACTATTTTTTATTACGGTATTGTTGTTTTTATCCTTAGTAGATGAAAAATTTCAATTTTAAAACTTTACTAAAATATCGATTTTCTTCTGCTTAGAAAGGTCTACATTAAAATACTATATTTTACCAAATAACCCAATAAATTGAAAACAAATAAATATGCTATAGTCTCCAAAAGAGTGTCAAATTTTGCTAGAACTTGTAATTTAAATTAAAAAAGTGCTAATAAACGCGTGGTATATTTTTAATGTGTATGATGCCATATGGCATGAATAATATTTGAAGGAGCTGAAATACGCACCAGCAAATAACGATATATTTGTACTGGGAAATTGCAACTGGTAAATTTTTTAAATGAATTATTAAATCTATGCA